TCTACTGCGCCTTTGAATCCAGCTGAGCACAGCCACGCGCACTCAGGGCTTTCAAGCAAGGCCGGCTTCAGAACTCTCCCAGGCCTTTTTGATTGGCAGGACCCAAAGAGGCCACACAGATGACAATGGCAGGGCCAAAGCTGCACTACCTTCTCAGCCCTGCACCAATTCCAGCCCTAACCCTTACTACTAATGTGGCACTGGGACAGTCCCTGAGCTAGTCTGCATGTCACTTACAAAACGCAGACGGGGGCAGCACCCAGAGCACAGGACCCCGCAAGGGCCAGGGCGTAGCAAAGCCCACTGCAAAGTCCACATTGCTGGCATCTGGCAACCGGTGGAGACAAAGGCTTGTCACCACCACCATCATCACGTCTCTATGAACTAGATTTCCCTGTAGCTCTTTGCAATCAGCAACTTTCTCATTATTGAAGATACATAAGTTTGGCAATGACCCGGGGTATATTTTAAGTGTTGATGATTTTCACAAGGGTATCAAAATGGGAGACCTTGGATCTGCCTCCCAAGCAAAATGAGCTTCAGTCTGTTCATCTGACTCCAGGAAATGATATTAGCTGACACAGTAAGGGTCATGAGCATATGACAAGTGTGCACAAAAATGAGAACGGGGAGAGGGGACAGTTACGGGGTGCCACAGGTGCTCAGGGATGTTCACCACTTCATTTACTGATTCCCCCCACAACCCTTCCTGTGGACACCCACAGAGACAAGATGCACACCCACCCACATGTTGGTTTGGCTGTCAAGACTGCAAGGGACACACGAGGGAAGGGAAGGGAGTCTTTCACTGCTGAGATACTGGGGCATGATGGGAAGAGCAGGCAGCCATCAAGGAGGTCGGAATGATGGGAGAGAGCAGAGTAAGGAGGCTGCCGGGGTGCAGTCAGTGAGCGGGCCAGGGCCATCCGGGCACAGGCTGGCATGGTCTGCACCTCCTGCCGGCACCGAAGGAGGGAGCACCTGACTGCGCAGGAAAGGGAGAGGACGGACAGGTGAGGCTTCCACACAGTGCTGGCGGTCGGACAGCAAAACCTGGAGGCGGTCTCTTCAAGATAGCTCAGACGCGCCCCCCCCACCCCCTCTCCTGCCTACAGATGCCAGAGCTGTGGCCCCAGAAACCGCCGGAGCCCCGTGGGCTCAGCCCCCCCGCCACGGGGAAGCTTCCTCAAACCTTGCTCCACGTTCAAACCAGCGGGTTCTGATTTTCTTAAATTTCTCCAAATAAAAGAAAGTTCGGGGTTGGGTCTGAATATTACCACTGCTGACACCGTTGTCCAGGGAGGGGCAGCACTCATTCAGAAAACTCACTTCTTGGGTAAAATTCCATTATCAACTGATCCAGTGAGCTTGGGTTCCGTCTCAGCAAACACACTCCCGACAGCTGGGCCCATCACCCCTTCATCTGTAACTGTGTGCAGATCTCTCTCTCTCCTCACTCTCTCTCCATTCCCCCAACTTCTCTACTGAGACTGACCTTTATAATGGTGTTTTTAGTTCAGTTTTGTTTCCTTAGAAAATAAATCTCCAGTGTTAGAGCAAGATCATAAGAAACTACATTAAAATAGTCAGGAATCAAATTTGTTTGTGTATGAGGGTCTGCATCATCTTGGTCGGTGCATTCTTCTGGGGAACCAGGTACCACCAGGCTCCAAATCTGCAGCTGTGTCTCCAACTCGGGACCCACCATGTGACTTCTCCGGAGGTAAGCACCCTGCCCATGGCCCAGCCTGCGACACGGGAAACCCGAATCTCTTTTGAAACAGCTGGTTCTGCAATATTTACGTATTAGTTCAGGAATTACACAGCAAATCCCAACTTAGACCCAATCACAATATTTGTGCTTCTCTATTAGTCATCTCTAGGAAACACTAAAGAACGCTTCCTGGTTCTTGGAGATTTTCCCCAACAACATCTGAGTGTGTAACTCCCGTTGTCCAGTCCTGCTCCTCGCCTCCTAAAGCCGGTGTGGTTCCTCAGCTACTTTCTCCCACCCATTCCCCACCCCCCAGCCCAGATCCAAATCAACCATTTCTTTCAAAACCAGAATGTAGACAGGTAAGCAGGACAGCAGTTTGACAGAAACAGGCAGTCAACTTGCTTCTTGCGGAAGTCACCTAAGTCATCAATCAATTGAGAGCATTAGCATGAGTGCACTCTGGCTTTCATGTGCCGTTCTTTCTAGTTCTGAAACAGCAAGATTCTGTTTAGAACAGTTAGAATGACTCCAACAGACATCTATTTCCCCCAAAAGGCTGTCATGCCCCAAACCTGCTCCCCATATTCCCATCACACACATTCTTGTTCATCATCTCTCCAGGAAATTTAAGGTTGCTGGAACCAGTTAACAAAGACAAAGATCACACAGTGAAAAACAAGAGAGATTCAGGTCGATGATTTGCTATTAAGGGAGGGGGGGGGGAGGATTCTAGGTTAGTAGCAAAAAATCCAGCCATCAAGGTCAAGCTTCTCAATCCCACAAAGAAAAGAAGAAAAGATAAGAAGAAAAGAAAAGGCATTTTCCTCCCATTCAGAGAAGAGCCTATTGGCGCTTTGTCAAAGTAACTCTTAAATCATTGTCAAATGTACAGGAAACAAACTCCCCTACCCTAAATGTAAGAAAGCAAGCATTTGATCCCAAATCTGTTCCCTATTCGCGTGGCTTCGTTTAATCGTTTTAGATCAATTCCTTGTTCCCTCGCCTTGGAAAAGAGACTTGCAGGTCTCACACAGAGCGCTACCAAATCGCCTACTGAGGCGGTGTTAATAGGTCCCCACCAGCTCGCAGACTTGCAAAAACCCCATTTATTATGGTCCGCGCGTACAGGGCGCTCTGCGGCCCCCCAGCGCCTCCGCGCCCCTGGCGTGAGCCCGGGGGTGTGCAGCCGAGGGGCGACCCCGCCAGCCCTGCGCGCGGTGCACCCCGCAGGCCTGCGGCCGCTCCCAGGCAAGCGGATTAAGGAGCGAGTCGCGGAGCCCTCAGCGCCGGAGACAGAGAAGGGAGATGCCAGACCGCCCAGCCCCGGCCCCACCACGCCCAGAGCCGGCGCTCTGACCCCGAAGGGTCCAGCCGGACGTGGTGCAGGAGCCACCTGGGCACCGACCCCCTGGCCGGGGACGTCAGGAGCTGGCTTCTCTGCGCAGCCCCGACAGGCACCGAGACCGCGCGCTGACCGAGCCCGGTTCTGCCCCGGCCGGGAGGGGCTCGCCACGCGGTGCCAGGAGTTCCAGGCGCTCCCAGGGCCCAGGAACCAGGGTGGCCAGGGGGAGAAGCCCCAGCTGGGTCCGCCTGGGAATCCGCGAGAGGCCGGAGCCGTCTCTTTCCCGAAGTGGGAGAAGCCGGTGTCGGGTGCGCCGGAGCCCCGCGCAGGACACCGGCGGCGGCGGAGAGAGCCGCGGGCCCCCTGCCGGAGCCCCGCACCGCGCGCGCCGCGTCCACTCACCTGGCAGTCGGCTCCGGAGAACCCGGCAAGACAGGTGCAGGTGTAGCCGGGCTCGCCTGCGGGGACAGAGTGCTGCGTGCCGGGCGCGGGGCGAGGAGTGCACACACCCCCGTGGCGGCAGGGCTGCGCCGCGCACGGCCCGGGTGCGGACTGGGGCGCGGCGGGTACCGGGCTGGCCAGGCAGCCGCCGCGAGGCTCGGAGCACAGCAGCAGGAGCAGCGGTACGGCCAGCGCGGGCAGCAGCTGCGCACCGGGCGCCTGGGCGCGGCGAGGAGGCATGGCGGGCCGGGAGGACGCGGGAGCGGAGCCGGAGCCGGAGCCGGGGCGCGGTGGTGGCGGCGGTGGCGCCGGACGCTTCCTGCAGCTGCGGGATCCGCGGTTCCCCGGGCAACAGCGGGGCGGGCCGGCGGGGCGGAGCCTGCGGGGCGGGGTGGGGCTGGCGGAGGCGGGGCCACGAGGCGATGCCCCTCCCCCGCCGGGACCCGCGGCCGGACTGGCCGGGAGGCGGTTCCCCGGCCCCCAGCCCTGGGGGGGTGTCGGGCTCGCGGTGCGTCCCCAAGAAACCCCAAGGGGCAGCAGCGGCGGCAGCGCGGGCCTGCGCGGGGCTTCCAGGGTACAGGGAGTCCGCGGGGCCGCCCCTCGGCCGGGTCATTCGCCCCCTGCGCGCGCTGTACTTGTGGAAGTGACCTTGCGCCCGCGCGGCCGTGCCGGCGCCCCTGTCCTTGGTGCTGACCGAGCGCGCGCCGTCGACCCCGGGGCTGGGGACGCCGGAGCCGCACGCGCAGGAGCTGGCGCGGCCCCGGGAGCCTGTCTGGCCCCGCTGTTTGACCCGAGAAGGAAACTGAGGCCCAGACGGGCTGGACTGGAACCCAGTGGGTCAGTTGACTCTGCGCCCGGAGCGCAGCCGGAGCCGCGGGTGCGGGCTCGCCAAGGCCCCGCGGGCGGCGGTGCGCTCCCGAGCCTCTCACAGCGGTTGGGCGGGGACGGCCCAGGCCAGCGCGGCCGCGGCTGTGTCCACCGGCTGGCCCCCCTCAGCCGGCAGGGCGGATGGCTACCTTATTACCTCGTCCTCACGGTGACCGTGTGAGCAAAGGACACGTGGCTCCTCCCTGGGTTGACAATCTCGGCAAATTGGGGGGGGGGGGGGAGGACAGCACGAAGATGACCTTGTGACAGCTGAGCAGATGGGAGGTGGCGACTGCACGTGACCGCACTCCCCCCCGCTAGCCCAAGGGCCCCCCGAAGCCCGCGGTGGCAGCGAGGGACGAATGCGGGGCTCTGCGCAGGGGGCAGCAGGTGCAGGCGCCTGAATTCCAGGTGGATCCGGATTCCCGCGACGCGGCCCTCACACCTGCTTTCTCATCGGAGACCTGCTCCAGTGGAAGCGCTGGCTTCTGTGCCGCGCCAGCGCCCCCTGCTGGCACTGGGCTCCCCCTTCAGAAGCTTCTTGGCCAAAACTAACCTCTGCTCTAAATTCGGGGCGGCCTGCTCCCTCCCCTCAAAATGCAAAGGAAGAGAAGGAATTTTTTAAGGTGGTAATGTAATTAAAATCCCATCTCAGTTTATTGTAATGTTACCTAAGCAATCCATTCGTATGTGTGAATTTCATTTCACTCTGATATTCGGGAGAATTGACTGTGGTTTGTTTTCTGGATGCTGATTTCTGAATTTTTCCAATGTTCCTCTTTGTTAAGTGCTGTCTCTGTAGTTAATCTTTAAAAGCCAAATTATGACAGATACAATACAAGACCATTTTTCTCCAGGCTAGATGGAAGAGTAAATCCAGCTCACAGGTTGAGCCCTGGAATTAGTTTTGGATGACAGAACATTAGTCCCCGAGTCACTCACTGTCAGCGCTCTCAGAGAAATGGGTCTTTCCTGTGAGCTCTGAAGGCTGACCTTTACATACTGACATTCCCAGCTATATACAAGATCCCCCAAATGCCCAAACTGATAAAACAATACAGGCTCTATGTTGAAGCAAAAGCCACCAATTCAATTATCCAGCCCTTTGTTCATAGTATTGCAAACCTGCTGAACATCAATCTCCATCCTACCCCTTTATCTTTGTTGCCACTATCACAGAACACCAGATTGGGTAATTTAAAACAATCAGAATGTATTGGTTCGCAGTTCTGGGAAATGCAAGGTCAAGGTGCCAGCATCTGCCGGGGGCCTTCTTGCTGCATCATCATAAGGCAGGAGCTAGACGAGCAAGAGATCACATAAGAGGAGGCCTGCCTTGTCCTATCAGAGCAGCAGTAATCCCCCTATGAGGCCAGATTCTGATCTAATCTCCGCCTTAAAGTCCCTCCTCATACTACTATTATAATGGCAATCAGGAGAGACATCATTCATACCGTAGCATCCAACTCAGTTTCTTGTTTGATAGACTTCCTATTTTGATAAGCCAAGGGCAAAATATCCAAATACTGTGACGATTTCAGCAAAGAATGTGATAGAACTTCTCATGACCACCTGTAGAGAAAGAGGGAGTATGAACATATAAAGAAAGTTTAGTTCAGTGAACTTGGAACTATTTAACAACTGTGGTTCGAACATACCATTTACTGGATTGCCACTAGGCTAGAGGATCTAAGAGGTGGAGGCTCCTCCAGCTTGGGTCCTTGAAGAAGAAGGGTGTCATGAAACAATGAGAACATGTAATGAGCATGTGGTGTGAAAAAGAAAGAGCCCATTGTTGTGGTTAGCCACTGAGTCCCGGTGATGTTAAGTAACTCAAGGCCACATTACGAAGTGGCAGGACAGAGCTGATGGTTCCCAAGGAGCCATACAACTTGAGCAGCTAGCTCAGGTGTGCTGCTCCTGCCACACAGAAGGCTGGGTCCCATTAGGGATTCCAAGGCTTCTGAATTCCATGGAACATCAATGCTCCAAGAAACATTCTGGGACCCATTTATTTGCATAGGTCTAGCCTAGAATTACAACTCAACTGCATTATAACCATAGGGTACTGCTATAAAATTGTTATAAACCAATACTAATAATAATTGTCTTTATTTGTTATATTTTGTCACAACTGGAGAAAAACATCTTCCCAAACCACCGCCAGTTCATGAAGCAGCATCTGGAAACCACTGATGAGACATCCCTCTTACAAGGAGGCTTTCACGCTCTGACCCCCAGAGCATCCTGTGGGAATATGGACCTGGATGCACAGAGTGACAGTCCCTGGAAACACGTTCAGAAGACCTGCAAAGGTTCCCTAGTGTAACCTCCTCAGCATTTGAACCAAGACGCAAACATTTACCTGGGGTGATAGTTGACCTTCAGCTATCCTAGAGCTGTATAGGTGCTTCTATCACGTGTATATCAACTACCTTCTTCCCGAAAGCATCTAAATTTTCTGCATTGGCCAGGTGATCCCCACATCTCTCGCTCTATGCACTCAGAGTTCTCTACAGACAATGATGTCACATCAACTGCTTCTTCCCACATTCAGTTACTCTTTAATGATTCAAGGGAGCATCTCTGCCCACCGCAGAACATGAGCCTGAATGCTGGGTCGAAGCTAGAGTCACCTTAAAAGAAAAAGTCAGCCACACCCAGAGAAGAGACACATTACCTGGTGACAACCTTCTGTCATGGAGAACAGCACCAAACAGCCTGTTTTGCTCAAAACAGTGCTATTAGGACCTGTGAGGTCATTGGCTGAGTTACTTAGTCTCTCTGACACTCAGATGCCATGTATAATGATCACAGAAATCTGTGCTTTATGGAGCTTTGGGAGAATTCAATGAAATGGCAATGTATAGAGTATTTCTCATGTACCAGTAGTATTTTACCACTAGTATGAGTAAATTTTTTCTATATTATCTCATTTAATCCTAATGCCAGAACTGTGAGGTAGAAACTATAATTTGTGTTCAATTAAAAGACAAAATTGAGGTGAAATGAGGCAAAGTCAAAGGTTTGACATCCCCAAGCTTGCCAGTGTCACGGCCAAGACTCAAACATAGAAATGAGTTAGGAGCCCTAGTTTGTACCTCTATTCTTGATCTGTTGTATCAGTCTCCTGCAGTACAGAATGATATTTAGTAGATACCATGTAGTCTAGAATGCAATCTGATACTTCATAGATTCTGTGTCTCCTACAGTACTTAGTACTGATACTTAGTAGACACTGCATATAACAAATATAGCACAGAGCCTGATACTTAGTAGATATTATGTATTCTACAATCAGTCTGATACTTGGTAGATTTTAAAATTCCCTCATGTAATGAATATCTCATATGATGCACAGTGCCTGCTGGGTTTCACTTTATTGTTAGGGAAGGTACTTTAGGGTTTTAGTATTCCTGACTCGCAGACTTTTAGGATGTGAAAAATGGGATGAGAGCCCGAGGATCTTTTCCCGAGGAGGAAGATGAGATAGTGAGGAAATTAGCAGCAAAACCAGAGCAAGATGCCAGGCGTCTGAATTGACAGCTGATGGTCTTCCCACTTCCCTCCACTTCCAATACTTCCTACCTACCTGTCCGTCACATGAAAAGGCAGTGTAAAAATGTAAATACTAAATACAGAAAGTTGTAAGTGGCTTTGAAGACTCTTCATGAAGAGTGAATATGATTTGCATATATTATAGCCACAGCACAAGTATGATTAGCTTTTTCCTTAAAGCCATAGTACCTTTGTTATAACTAGTCATTTAGGTGTTTTAGCATATATACTCACATCAGGTTATTTCACTCTAAATTATCACTGAACAATTCCTAAATGCTGTGTTTGAGATAGATTCACACATACTTCCCCCTGGACTTGCTCTGATTTGAATTAAATCACTCTTCTGGCAGCTGTATAAAACAGTTGTAATTTCTTTTACATTATCATTCTAATATTGATTTGATCTAGGGCAGTTTTAAATAAGAAGTCTGAATAAAAAGGCAACAAGAAAGCACATCTTCCCCCATATAAATATTTCATAAAGCACTAGAACTACCACAAATGGAAATCAGATCTTTTCACCAGACACCCAGAACATAGGAATCATTTTAAACTCAATAAGGGTTTTAGTTCCAACATGTTGTTATTATGAGAAATGTTCCATCCTGGAACATGGCAGTGCTTTCAAGGCAGAATCTACACTGACTGACTTGCAAATATGGAGGTTAGATTCAGGGCCTCTGCTTTGCTCCCAAATGCATTCTAGAACTTTGAAATGTGAAAACTACCAATTGGGGGGGGGGGGACTATGCATGACTTCAAAAAATTGCACCAACATAAACATCTTGTATTCTACTTTCCATGAGCTTTCTGAGGTGCTCTCACACCGTACTGTGGAATTGCTCCGGCCTTCATATTTTCCAGCAGCAATGGAAATGCCTGCATTGGCCTTGCTGATGTTAAAAATATGTCATGTTCTTATTCCATCAAAATTAGGGATTTATTCTCCCACATAAAAGAAGTCTGGACATTGTTGGTCCAGGGCTAAGTTCTGATGAAGCCAAGAGAAGAGAAGGTTCTTGCATCCACCGCAAAGGGAGTTTGAAGTATCCAAGCTAGGTTGTCTCCACCTTAGCCTAAGGTGGGATACCCGTGGTTCTGTCCAACTACTACCTTTCCCTCTTGGGCAAGTAGGCCCCAATTCTACTTTAGGGGAACCAGCCATGTGCTTCATGTAAAACTGACCCTATCCCAGGAGTGGCCATGTGACAAGCTGGTTCAGAGATGGACATATGGCTCCAGTCACATTCATGTGGTCTTTATGAAATTTGCACACCACCAGCAGATGTCAACAAAGCAAGCAGGCATGTGCAGAATTCTGATGCAAAAATCCTTCTAAAATTAGAAAAACATGGACAAGCATTTAGTCTAGCAATTAAGACATCCCATTCCCACATCGGAAAACCTGGATTTGGTACCCAGCTTTCTCTCTGGACTCCAACTTCCTGCTAATGCAGGCCCTAGGGGGCAATAATGATAGCATAACCGAGTTCCTGCTGCCTACATGAGGCACCTGATTGGGTTCCTGACTCACAACCCAGCACTCATCTTTGTAGGTAGTTGAGAAGTGAATCAGCAAATGGGATATATCTCTCTCCTCTCCTCTTTCCTTCCTCTCTCTCTCTCTCTCTCTCTCTCTCTCTCTCTCTCTCTGTTTTAGCCCTATATACTTATTACATTTAAAAACATGAGCAAAACATAAAGACAAGTACTGCATGATCTTACACATACATGGAATCTGACAAAGTTGATCCCACAGAAATTCAAAGTAGAGTGGTAGGTAGAGGCCAGAGAGGGGAGGGGTGGAAAAGTTGATCAACATTTTCTATGAAGTGCTGGTGTTCTAGTGTACAATAGGGTGATGATACATAATGATAATGTACTGTATTTTTTTAACTCAGAAGAAAGAATTTTCAGTGTTTTAACCATAAAGAAATGATGAATGAGTAGTCTGATGTAAGATACTTCAAACAGTTTATGGGAAATGTTAAAAACAATTTTATTTTGTTGGAAGAAAATTGAAATCCATACAGTTTTCCCATAATACACATTTTCCATGAAATTTTTCATATTATTACTCTGACTTGAATATTATACACTATGTACAAGTATTGAAACATTGCATGGTACCTCATATATATGTACAATTTTTATATCACTTAAAATTTAAATTTTTAAAAAATAGCAAAATAGGGGCCGGCGCTGTGGCTCACTTGGTTAATCCTCTGCCTGCAGCGCCGGCATCCCATATGGGTACCGGTTCTAGTCCCAGTTGCTCCTCTTCCACTCTAACTCTCTGCTGTGGCCCGGGAAGGCAGTGAAGGATGGCACAAGTACTTGGGCTCCTGCACCCACATGGGAGACCAGGAAGAAGCATCTGGCTCCTGGCTTTGGATTGGCATAGCTCCAGCCATAGCGGCCATTTGGGGGGTGAACCAATGGAAGGAAGATCTTTCTCTCTGTCTCTCTCTCTCACTGTCTAACTCTGTCAAATAAAAAAAAATAGCAAAATAACTCCACAAATTATTTAGGAATCTGCATATATTGGCCAAGTTGAACATATTCCAAAGATGAATTCGTGATTAAGTGTCAGAATCTGTATTAATAGATTTAAGGAGAAAATCCTATGGTTTTTATAAATGCTACAGAGGGATTTGATAAAATTCAACATACATCATCCTTGATAAGCTTATAAAATGAGAAAAAATTGATATCTCCTTATCACAATATAGCACTTCTATCTCAACCCCAAGTCAGCATCCCACTTATTGAAGGAATATGAGAAGCAAGTCCATTAAAGTTGAAAATAAGATAATATTCACCATCATCATTATCATTTAATATTGTTCTTGAAGTATTAGCCCAAACAAGTATGCAAAAGCAAATTTGTAGATACACAAGTGGAAAAGAAGTAAAAGTTATTACATGCAAACAATACAACTTCGGACCTAGAAAACCCATCTCAAAATATTTTAGAAACAATAAGAATTCTGTAAGATATGTGCCTCAGCTTTTGATCCAGCTTCTTGCTAATGCACACACCGGGAGGCAGCAGATGACCACTCAAGTCCTTGGGTCTCTGCCACTCACGTGGGAGACCCTGACTGAGTTCTGGGTTCCAGGTTTCGGCCTGGCCTAGCCCTAGTTGTTGTAGGTCATGTGCAGTGTGAATCAGTAGATGGGAAACTCCTCCCTCTCTCCATCTGTGTGTGTGTGTGTGTCTGACATAAATATAAATTATGAAAAAATCAGTTTAAAGATCCAATTCACTTTTTCTAGAATCATTTCAAAGATAACTTTCTTAGAGGGTTAAAGGGTGGGGAGCTTCCTTATGCTAACCTCTTCTTATTGATTACTGTGAGTCGTTTGTTTTTGCCTTTAAAAAAACAAACAACTGACCCTTTGTTGTTGTTTTGCTTGATTCCTACATAACTCCATTCTGGTTTAGTCCAAATGATGGCCTCCCACAGTCTTGTTTAACAGTCCCAAACTCTTTCCCTTTGCCTCCTTATAAGACACCTTAGTCCTTGGGGCTAACATTCAACTGTAACCAACCTATAATGTGAATTCCAACGTGTACAGCTATTAATAAAAGGGCTTTTAGAAGCTGACACCATGAGAAGCAATGACTTGATCAGCCTTTGTACTGACTGCTGAGGGACAGCTTACTATTTTTTTCTTTTTAGTATTTTCCTTTTTTACTTAATACCATTGGTTGAACTCTTAACACAGAATTATTCATAGGTATTTAAATCCAATTGAAAATTGATCCCTGTAAAAAATAAGAGTGGGAATAAGAGAGGGGAGGGAGGAGATGTACAGTTTGGCACACATTCCCACAGACTTACACCTAAGAGCAAAGCAAAAAACTTGCCATGGGACTCCAAATCCTATTGAGTTGCAGGTACTAATGCCATTTTACTAGGTAAAATGATCATTTTAAGTGCATAACTGATCATAAAGATAGGAATAAGTGTCAAAAGGATAACATAAATAAGACCAAGTGTCTGCTAATAAAAATATATAGAATTAAAAAGGAGAGAACAATCCAAGATGGGAAGCAAGCCACACAGCAGACTCACAGAGTGACAAACACCCTAAACAGCACTCTGGCCTCAGAATAAGCCCTTAAGACATTTGGATCAGGATAAAAAGCTCACAAGAGCATTTCAGGTTTGGAAAGCCAAGACACTGTGGCAAAAAATGATCTACATGAAGGATTTCTGTAAGATTCCAGTGGAAAGAAGGGGGCATCAAAGAAAGAGGTACCTTTCTCTGAAGGGAGGAGAGAACTTCCACTTTGATTATGGCCTTGTCTAAATAAGGTCAGAGTTTGTGGTCTCAAAAGGTTTCTATAGCCTTGGAAGCTCATTTCAAGAGCCCCGGGTGATCACTGACGTCATAAATAAGAGTGTTAATTGTTAAATCAACAACAGGAGTCACTGTGCACTTGCTCCCCATGTAGGACCTCTGTCCTTAAGGAGTTGTACTATGAGAATTAACCGTAAAACTTGTCTTCAAACAGTACTTTATACTTTGTGTTTCTGTGTGGGTGCAAACTGTTGAGATTTTTACTTAGAGTTATCCTCTGTATATAAAGATAATTAAAATGAATCTTAATGAAGAAGGGGATGGGAGAGGGAGTAGGAGATGAGAATGAATGAGGTTGGGAGGGTGGGTATGGGGGGAAGATCAGCTATATTCCAAAAGCTATACCTATAAAATTTATATCTATTAAGTAAAAGCTTTCCTAAAAATATATAAATAAATAATAAATAAATAAAAGGGCTTTTTTTCTTGAAAAATAAACTTGTGAGCAATAAGGCTATCAGGTGGGACTAATGATATAAAAATACAATGTAAAACTGTAATAATTAAATGGTATGGCATACTACATAGACAGATAAACTTATATAAGTAGGAAGCCCAGAAATGGAGCTAAATGTTTGTGAGAATTTAGTATATGTTAAGAGTTATATATTGCTCAATAGGATATATGAGACACACAGCAACTGCATGGAAAAGTTAAAGTATTACACCCACAGCTCAGAACATATATGTAAATAAACTCCAAATGGACGAAAGATCTGAATCATAACACAAAAAAAGAAAGCCATGAAATTATAAGAAACTAAGAATATTTTTACAATCCTAGAGTTGACACATATTCAGAAGCCACTTAAAAAAGATCAAAACATTTGTCAACATAAAACTTAAAAATTTCAACTGGCAAAAATCACCATATGCAATGTGAAAGCATTAGGAAAGAACATTTACAACTCTTATCAACCATCAAAGGACAAATTTCTCTCTTCTAGAGAGAACGTCTGTAAATCAGCAGGATTCTAAGATCTTTGTCCCTGACAGCATCATTCCCAGATCCGGTTCTATAGGTCTCTGCTTCCCCTGGATTTTGGCAAACTGCTTGGACAAATGCCTGCAAGTGGTCATTTTTATTCTGCACAGCAGGTCTGCACATTTGTAATTTTAGTGGATATTGACAGATTACCCTCTCTAGAGATTCTACCGATACCTCTTCCCACAATAATGTGTTGGATTCCCTGTCTCCCTCTCCATCACAAGGTTTCATCAGATTTTGTCATTATGGAAAATCTGATAGGTGAAAAA